TCATGCATCGTCACAGGCGGCTATTTTCGTCTCGCTGGCCTTGAAACCCTTGACTGACGTCATCGTGTACATACACGCGCACACACGAGTGCGCCCAGGTAGTCGCGGCTGCCAAAGGGCCACTTAAACATGCCAACAGCCAGCCAACGCAGCAGGGCCTCTACAGGCGACACCTCCTTCGGTAAATGCAACGCACCAATCATATACCACTTCAACATCATGTTAAGATAACTGGCATCTCCCTTACACACTCTCGGGCAGGACTGGACGCAGTCAACACTAGCCCTGGCTTCGCCAGCGGTCACTACTGCACGAGACAGCAACGCAGGGTTCTGTGTACAATAAATCCCCCACTCTAGCGACTTCTACCTGGGATTCGATCTGAGGATTGTAGTGTTGTAAGCACAACCACTACGTAGACGCTACATTGCTTTCATGTCGCCACTATCACCGTCCAGGTGCCAGTTGCAGCTCCATTTTTTGGCACCGAAGCTCTTTGGGTTTAGTATCCCTTTGAGCTCCACTTCTTAGGTTGACCATTATAGCGACAGCGCCATTTTGGGAAAAGGAACTAACAAAGCTAACTGCGGATAATTTAGATGGAGGGCTTACCTAAGACGAGGACCCTCTACTGAATCATCAACAGCAGGTATCCTTGACCGGCAGTGGAGTCCTACTTTCAAGATAGGATTCGTGGGCTAGACCAACAGTATTATCCGGAGGTATCGGTTGTCAAATGCCTCGCTCACATTCAGGTCAGCGGCGCGAAGAGACAAAGATGCATAAGTGTAAAGCAGGACAGCTCTGACAGTAGGCTCATATCCTCGGATATTTGTCTCCTGTCAAACGTCGCAGCTGGGTCGCGGGCACTCCCAAAGTGCGCAGTACATAGTCCCTACGAGTCGTGTGCTACATGTTGTCCACCTGCACGGCGTGGTCTGCAGGACAGAGAAAGCGAGATAGACAAAACAATCAAACAATAAATTAATTGATCCAGTGCTCGACTCGTCTCCTTCCTTATCCAAGTAGGCAAAACTGTCAATTACCTCGTGCCGTCCAGACTAATTGTGAGTTTCTGGTCGAACTGGGGGGCCACCAATGCAGTCCGTATATTGCTTACTAAATACTTGCATGTTCATGGCGAGGGGATGGTGCCTGTCTGTTGTGCGCGAAGACGGACTCCTTATTCTTGATCTCACGCTTTCCTTTTCAGTCGTTATGCTCTGTTACAATCGGACCTCCATAGCTCTCTTATCTCTGGAGGCCCTCACAAATCTCCCCTATCTCCACTCCGTGATCGTCATTTGGAACGGCCCGGAGCCGCCACCGGCTTATCTACGCTGGCCGAAACTACATGTTCCTATCCTCGTAAGTGTGTTCCCCTTCCCTTATGTGGACCACCCCTCATGCGTGCCCTCCCTCTGCTAAGTGCTATGCTTTTGCCCCTCCTAAGGTTGTCAAGGGTGGGAAGAACAGCTTGAACAATCGATTCCTGCCGTATAATGTCATCAAAACCGACGCCCTCCTCATGCTGGATGATGACGTTTGGCTTCGCCATGACGAAATTATTCTTGCCTTCAGGTGCGCTGCAGATGAGGATGCCCTGTCGTCTTCTTGAATTGCCATTTTTTTCTATTATTCGATTCTTTCAACTCTTTGCAAGTGCATTTATATTTCGCTTAATTCCGTCAGACTCTATAAGCATCGAACTTTTTGCCGACTTGCTTATGGCGGTGGTGCTAACTGTGCCGATTGGGGCCATTGTGGGCGTGTTTTTCGTGACTTCTGTGAGAGGAAAAATAAGACGTCCCTGGCGGTGCTTTCTGCTGCACTGCATGTCTTCACACAAAACGAAGGCGGTTATTGAGTCCCCTTGACGGTGGGGAGCTTTGATGCGTCGATACAGCCTTCTTGTGAGGCCTGTGATTACTAATAAAAAAAAGCACTTCCACATTTTAAGTATGTCGCATTTCAGCCTATGCAAATACTTCCTTGATTACTTTTACCAATAAGAGTTGTTATAATGAAAAGAAAGATCTTCGGAAAATCGAGTTGTACTCGTGAATTTTCGAACAAGTATCACCGTGCTGGTCGCCAGACTAAATTAAAATAATATCGTTATAATATCGTTATTGATCTATAGGAATCTTTTTCTGCCCAATATTCGTCGATTTTATTCGTTCCGCACGCTTTTCATGTATGTTTTTAGTTTAGTAAAACAATTACAAGCGGAGGAATTTGAAAATAGGCATCCCGAGAAATATAATTGGATAGAAGATTGTGAAACATCAATCAACAATTCCATGTAGTTTTTGAACAAATTACAAGGGCTTGAGATAACAGCAGACGAAATAATGATATCATTTGATGTTGTCTCTCTCTTCACATCGATACCATTAGAT